GTCAGTTAAGCTGGATGACGCATTATGCGCATACAGAACAGCATTCAAAACACCTATAGGTATGCCCCCATATCAATTAGTTTATGGTAAGTCATGTCATTTTCCGCTTGAACTCGAGCACAAGGTCTTTTGGGCTTCCAAGTTCCTGAACTATGATGAAATCAAAAGAACCACTTTTTTCACTAGACTCTGAAGTCTATTCTCAAGCCTCTAAACTCAGAACATGCTTCAAGTATTTCATATACGAAGCCAATATTTTATAGAAAGGGAAGAAATGAATATTCTAAGTCTACAATACAAGTTAAGCTGCAAAATCAAAAAAGTTATACTGCAAACGGCTAAAAAAATTTCTCACCACTACCCACGATTTACAGCTGAACCCCATACCAACTATTACAACTTTAGATTTGAAGAAGTTTTCAAGTCTATCCTCCAACGATCTTATTTTTCATTTATATGAAAAGGACTATAAAATTGTGAAAAAAGAACTTTTTGGGAGAGCTATTACGAAGAACTTGAACGAACTTCATGCTGAAGGAATTTCAATAAGGAAAATCAAATCTAAGAAAGAGAAAATAGAAAGAAACCCTTAACATTTAATTTCAAATATTCTTAAGTGTAAAGTTTGATTATCACTGTGCATATCTGCTTATTTAGAAGCAACTTTGTAAACACAAATCTTATATTTAACAGTTGTTAAATTCCTTAAGGGACTAGGGTATAGTCATAAGCCTCAAGAAGTCATTGACGATTAGTCTTTAAGTTGTAATTCCTTAAGGGACTAAGGTTAGTCAAAATCCTTAAGAAGTCATTGATATGTGGTCTTTGAGATTGCAATCAGTTTGATTATTGGATTAAGTCACGTTGAGAAGGAAAAATCACTATGGCAAGTAGACTAGATTAGCCTCGTAACGGTGAATCTGGATAAAAATATCTTGTCACTTTTATCATTGTTATTATTATTATTTTTGGTATAATGAAAATTTATCATATTTGAAACCCAATTTAATCCCCCTTTTCTTGTGTTTCCTGAACCTTCAACACGTACTAGCATGAGAAAGCTTAGAGAGAGGAGTGACCAGAAAGTACAAATTTTTGAAATTCTTCACACTATTTAAATAGACCTTGAACATCTTCTGACCTTGTCTAAGAGAGAATAAGCCCTCACCCCAAGTTGAGTCATTCGAATGGCGTTGGACGTTGAAGAAGTGGAAATATAGCGTCAAGGTTGGTGCACTTTTCTTATACTCATACTAATACTAGAATACTTTGATGTAGGCCTAACTCACTGGATACAATTGCGAGGGGGAAATTCCCAAATGTTTAAGAACATCCACCTTCATTTTTTTGAAAGGAATAACGTGGCATATCAAGAAAAATAAGTGAAGAGGGATAATACACCCCTCAAACTTGATGTGAATCCTCATATCTCTTTCGAGAGGAAGCACACCCTAGTGAAAGTAAGATCTAGACCATGATCACCTGAAAAGATGGACATTATGTCCAATGTTTTTTATCTACCCATACTGTTGAGCTATCCTCATTCACATTCTAGGTTTTCTGACGAGTATAAGGGTCCATTACAGGATTACTGATAACATGAAAAATAGAATGACAGTAAGTATAAGCACAAAATTGAGATTCCAACGACCAGCTTACTTCACTGTCTGTGGGGTCAAAACCAAAAGCACAATGATACACTTTGATATAAGTTTGAGATTTGTGCCCAGCTTGAAGTCATTCGCGACAATTGGGTTTATCATAGGTTAATAAAGAAAAGAAAAACCTTTAACAACTTCCCTAAGATCAAGGTTATCAACTATCCTTCCATCTTCAACCACAACTCTTTCATTTGAATCTTTCGCAACCATCTTACCAGAAAAACCCTAAAAAGAGGATAAACAAATATATATGAGAGAAGGACTTTAGTTGTTACCTTGAAAGAAGTGATCTTGATAGATTATGTTAATAAAGCCACTATAAAAATGTCGCAAAGGCATAAGAATGATGATCGACAAGAAGTGTTTGCAGAGACTAGAAACAACTACATAAAAGTGAAGAATCCCCAAACCTCAAGAGTGGTGAAAAAGGGAAAAGTTACCCTTCATCCCCTTGTACATTCATGGTATAACTGTCACACAATTAACGTTGGATAGCACCAAAAGGAACAACCTTGTCATCAAAGGCCATGATCCTGCCTCGATCTACTCAAACACTTAAGTACCCTAGAAAAGAGGCTCATCATCACTGACTGACCTAGAACCATATGTTAGGGTTGTCCCACGAAGCGCAACAAAACATCCAATGCACATGTTCCCATTGTGACAAACAATCTTCCCCTCGAAGCCTTTCCACTTTCCCCGACATACGATCAAGGGTAGCCTAAACCACACAACCCTCACTTCAACAAGTGGTACAAGGGTTTGGGGGCAACTATCAAACCATTCGCAAATGCCATGGACAAATGCTCAGTCACGAGGCCCAATACGGAAGGTGCCAAAACAAGCAAGAACATGTGAGACCTCACTCAAGTACAAAGCATGCGATCTTGACATCCGACCTATCTCCCACTGTCAAACCCAATCGAAAGATAACCCACATAATGCTAAACGAAGTTGTTTAACCACTCATCTTATATAAGTTTCACACGTGTCAATTTCAAATATATCTTCCACTTTCACTCTGAATAGTTTCTTAAAAATTTCACTAATTTAAGCGCTAAAGTGTCATCCTTATAGATCCATCCTACTACATCGTATAGAAAGCACTCATCACCATATCAAAAAATCTTGCTAAGATTTTGTTTCCTATTATACATTCATCATATTTATTTATTTTAGTTTTTTTCACAAAATAATCCAAGACAATTTATATTATATTTTTTTATAGGAAAAACATGTCTAACAACTTAAAGATAATCCAGCTCTGCCACACAACTTTTTTTAAGCATGTTTATAAAAAGAGAAAAAGAAAGAAAAAAAAGCCGTAATCCAACATTTCATTTTTTTAATAATCAAAAGAATCTCAAGATACAACGCCACTTTTAATACAATAATAACCTAACCAGTATAGTAATAATCTCCGATTTACACACAAAACATAACAAACAAACAAAATGAAAAGTAAGATAATTCAAATTAAAATCGTAACAGTATAAACTTTTGGAAGATACGATGGACATTAACAAGTCTTAATAATCCAACACACTATGATCTATCTTATCATTATTTCCCTATTTTATTTCTCTTCAAACAAACACATGTCATGCTCATGCTCATGCACCCCCCATTTCTCTTTCCGTACACTTCACCGGTCCCCGCCACACCCCTCCCATTCACATTCTCCACACTGCACCGTGTCGTTTCAATTCATCTCAGTTTCTTGTTTCTCTATAATAACTCATTTCAAAGTACAGCCTCATTTTTATTTTTCAAACCCCAAATAAACAACTAACAAACTTTCCTTTTTTTAAAAAAAATAAAAAAATAAAATACTTCAACATTGTGAGTGAATTTCGATATTGACTTTCCTTCCATTGACAGCTGCTTCTGATTCAATATAGCAACCTTTCCTTCTCAAGGTATGCATGCTATAACCCTATATCATAACCATATTGTTTTATTTATTTATTTATTCTTTCATTACTTTATGCACATTACATTAACCATCACCTTAGGAATATATGAAATTCATTTATTTTTTAAGATAGATGCTACCCTAAAGACAATGCTAGGGCTATGTAAACCTAACTACAATAATGACTATCACAAATCCCAAGAAATCACTTATATCAATCAATCAACCGTCTGATCTTAAGAACTCAGGTTCAAATTCTGATAGATGTTAATAATTTCGTTTGGACTTGGTAGTCGAGAGTGTTGATTCAGTTCATACAGAAATTTGCTCTGCCAAAGGAAATTTGGATTTGAAAAATTGAAAATGATTTGGGGTGTTGTATGTAGTAAACAAATGTAGGTTAGGTGTAATAAGGGAAGGGCTATGAGGGTCCAAAGTGGGCACCTATGACCACCTAACAGACCATAGAGTAAAGACTTATCGCTTTCATTTACCTTAACCTATTGAATATGCATACATTCATATCTCAACTTTAGCTCTAGTTATGTTGTGTCTACTATACTGTTGCATTAGTAATCAATGCATCTCATCAAAACAACATTACTTCATCCTAACTAGTAGTAGAAGTAGTTGTAAAGTAAGTGGTAAATTATCAATTAATGTTGCTTTTATTTCTTGCCCTTTCTATTCCTACAAAACAGCACTAGCTAGCTTCAAATTTAGAGTATTTTTTTCTACTAATCATGATTGTCATTGATATTAGCAATTAATTAATTGATACTAGTACTGTTATATACTGTCTCTTATTTCTGTTATTATTACTATTGCTTTCTAATGATTCAACTTTTTTCTCTTGATTCAGAATTACTAAAGTTGCTCTCTAGAAAAGGAAATGGTTGAGCTTTGCAATTCAATCTCAAAATTCAGATCTTGAGCCTTCACAAGCATTTCAAAGTTCATGCTGGTTTGGTTTCTCAAACACTTGTTGAAGAGCTTTGCTTTGAATTTTGACTTTGTTTGACTTGAGTGACTTATATTCCTAGAGTAGAAGTATAGTCTTCAAATTTTAGTTGAAAAGTGTGGTCTTAGTTTATTGTTTGTGATTTTGATTTTTATGATTATTCTATATAATAGTGTACAATGTGTTGGGGTTGGTGGAGTTAATTAGTATTCTGTCAGTGTTGTGAGGTTTGAATATGCAAATAAACTATTGTATTGGTTGTTAGTTGACTCATTTTTCATGCTAAGTCCATGGTTTTAACTTGTAGCTTGTAATATTATACTAGATTTTGCATAATTGGTGAGAGGGATTTCGGTGTTTTGATATGGAATTCACATTTTCAAGGTGTTGAATTGAAGATTTGTTAAAAGTTAGGAAGTGGGATTTTCGTGTGGAAGGTTTGTATCTACTCTAAGTGTAAGATATGCTGAGCTCTGATGATGATGGAGATTTTGATGTATTCTATGACTCATTGGATAGTTTGTCAGGTCAAGAATCTGTTTTAGCCGAAGAAGAGTTTGGTTTCGAAAGACGTTATGATGAAATTTGGGTGAATGAGCCTGTTAGTGTAAAAGAAAGAAGGGAAGTTTTTCTGCAGGGTATGGATTTAGCTTATAGTTCTTCCAAGATTCTCTCTCAAGAAAAAATTATGAGGTTTAATGAGAGGATCATGGAGTGCAGTGGAGCAGTCTCAAATGCGTGCATTTTCCCTTCTGATAAAGTATCTGAGAAGACGGTTTTCTCTGGATGGAATGCGACTTCTGAGGCAGAAGTCTTGTTGGAAGGACTTAAAGGGCGTCGAGAGGATGAGGATGAAGTGGATGCTAGTTTTCAATGGAAAATGGATGAGAAAGTGGATGCAACTTCTACAGCTCCTGAGCACAGAGAAAGAGAAGATGAAGCACAAGAAGAATTTTGGGATTTTGATAATAGTAAAACTAGTAGGAATAAATGGTGGAAGCGCTTCGTAAATGTCGGAAAAGGTGAAGAAGGAAAAGTTAGATCAAAACTTAGTACAGGGATGAATAAAACTAGTAGAATAAAGGTAAGACGGAATAAAAAGAGGTGGCTTGAGTTCAGTGAGGTCTATGTTGGTCAAGAGATTAAAGCTCACAAAGGATTGGTATGGACTATGAAATTCAGTCCTAATGGTGAGTATTTAGCTAGTGGAGGTGAAGATGGTGTCGTGCGCGTATGGCGCGTTATGTCTCGTGACAAAAGCCGGCCCTTCAATTTCCTTCCAAATGATATTTTTCAAATTGAGGAATCACCACTGCAAGAATTGTTTGGTCATTCCAGTGATATCTTGGATTTGGCTTGGTCTAATTCAGATGTGAGTTTAACTTGCAGAACCAAAGTTTCAATGTGTTACGTTCGCTCTGCTTGCAAATCTAATAAAAATTACATGTTGCAGATTCTTCTCTCGTCTTCTATGGATAAAACTGTCCGCGCTTGGAAAATTGGCTGTGATCAATGTCTACGTGTTTTCCCTCACAAAGACTTTGGTAAGCATCATAGAATCACACACTTCGATCAGTATTTTCCACAGCCATTTAGACGAAATTCATTTATTCATATTTATAACTTAAGCATGATTGTAATTGTCTCTTCTTTAATTGGATTCAGTGACGTGCATTCAGTTCAACCCTGTTGATGAAAATTACTTCATCAGTGGATCAATAGATGGTAAAGTTCGAATATGGGGGATATGCGAAGAGCGAGTTATTGACTGGGCAGATATACGAGATGTCATAAGTGCTATAAGTTACCAACAAGATGGGAAAGTATGCTATGGAAACTTGATTATTTTCGCATTTTTCTGCGTTTTAATGCCTATTTTATTTCGGAAACGGAAACTCGTGGCCATGAGATTGATGAATACATTTTATTTGTGTAGGGATTTGTAGTTGGTTCTGTTACAGGTACTTGCCGATTTTACGCTGCTTCAGGTATATGCATGTGGATCACCGATTGTTACATTCATGAGCAATTGAGCACTCTTAACGGAAGATAAATTAGTTCCTTAATCAGATTTTTAATGATTTAGGAAAATATTTCAAGCTTGAAGCTCAGATAGATATCTGTGGAAAGAAGAAAGCATCGGGCAACAAGATTACTAGCATTCAGGTTAGAATCTAGAAACACTTTACTACTAAAACACTTAAGTTTACTTTGTACTTGTTCTGTTGTCCTTCTCACCAATGCTTGTTTGCAGTTCTTCCAAAACAACTGTCAGAGAATTATGATCACATCAGAAGATTCCAAAATTCGCATATTTGATAGAACTGAGATGGTTCAGAAATACAAAGGTACCACAGCACTTAACGGTCACTACAGTCCTGATCAAAAACCTTAATGTTGCGGGCACAATCATGGACCACAAATTAAAACCTTGTTAAGAACTGTGTTTAAGCATTTTACGTGCATTGTATGACACAACATCTGATCTTTGACAGAATGTGTAATATGCACTGACACATCGGTAAATTTTAAATAGTATCTCTTTCCACTATGCATATGCTTAATATGTCTGGTTTGCATGAAAAAGTCTTAAGTCTGTTGATTTTACTACTTCCATCAGGCCTTCCGTGGTCGGGAAGTCAGATGTCTGGTTCATTTACATCAAGTGGGAAACATATAATTTCGGTTGGAGAAGACTCGCGCGTTTATATTTGGAACTTCAATGACTTTGAAAGTGCTTCTTCGGAAAAAAAGAAATCACAGCATTCTTGTGAATATTTTTCCTTCAAGGGTGTAACGGTTGCAATACCTTGGTGTGGCATGAAAGCAGAATATACAACAAATAACATTCCGCGTCGTATTTCAGAAACAAAAGGCAAGCTAGAGTTTGGTTCCGAGGTTAGAGATACAGACCGCTTTTCTCTCGGCAATTGGTTCTTCATAGATGGTACATGCCGAGGTTCTATGACATGGCCCGAGGAGAAACTTCCAACATGGGATTTACCTCTTGCAGAAGACGAATATGATCATCGGAAGTTATATAAAAAGGACAGTAGCCATGGCAAGAATAAATCAGAAACACGGGGACTCACGATAGTGGCAGCTGGCAGTGATGGAACTATCAAGACATTCCACAACTTTAGTTTGCCTGTTAGGCTCTAGGACAATGCCATGTTCATTGTTTTCCATTTTTGAGGAGATATTTTGGCTTCATAAGGGTCTAAATTTAACAGTGGTGGCCTTAGATTCTAAGTAAAATCATTGTCAAAAATGCATGTTGGATGCATGTTCTTGACATGTTCTAGGATTTGTATATTTTCACTTTAGGCATGCCTTTAATTTAATATGGTTCTGGTGGTGGATTTAGGCCATAGAACATGCAAAAGAGTCCTATTTTTCTTTATACAACAGGTACATAATGAAAAGTGCTCTTTGAAGTTTTGGTTACATATGTGATTCTATTAGTTTATGTAAGGAGTTTTTAATACCACTTATGGTTTTGTAATTTTTTTCTTACAGCATGGAGGATTGAGGTGAGTTTCACCTCGACTCGACTCGTTAAGAATTGATTCAATTTAAATTTCTGTTCGAACTCGATATGAATTCTTTTTAAGTTTAAACTCGACTCGTTATAAATTCACGAACAATTCAGTTCATCTCGTTAGGTTCAACTCACTTGTTTCACGGACTTAAAAAGTTATAAGATTGGAATTCGACTTTGTTTCTAAAATCTAATAATTCAAAAACTACACAATTTTTAAGAGATACGTTTGAAAGTCTAATTCAAAAACTACTCATTTGGAGTTTAAATTTGTCTAAAAAATCCACAACTTCATCTTAATATTTAAGAACCTTACCAATTTAATAAAATAATACACTAAAATTACTAAAAATTGATACATTTCTTTCACTATACCCTTTGCAATCTTTCTTTACACTTGTTATTTTAGCAAATGTCATAATGTCAACTTTATTGCCATAACTATGAAATTGACAATATAAGATTAAAATTTGGAATAAATCTTTAAACTTATTTTAGAGACAATATAAATTTTTTCATATATAATTGAATTAACTCGTGAACTTATCGTGTCTACCTATGTATAATTTAAATTCTGCTCATTTAGTTAACCAATTTAATTTTTCACTTATATTCAAGTCATTTAGTTAATGAACCTAGTTCAATAATTCAATAATTTAACTGTTGAATTGAATTTCAAACTATTTTCAAGTTTATTCAATTTATTGTCAATCTTAAAAAGACAACTAAATTACAGATATGGCATAGATCTTTGAATAAGACACTTCTCCAACAAAGAAAAGTGACGGTACGAGGAACGATATAAAGATAGAAAAAATAGAACTAAGAGAGATAAATATAATTCTTCAAATTATAATATATTTTATATAAGAGTGAAGACTCGTTATACTTCTTCACAAAAATTTGTAAGCTCAAATTAATTATTCGGAAAAAAATCATGTGTAATCTCTTATAAAATTTAATTAATTAAATTAAGGGTCATGCTAACCAGTGTCTTCAGGGCACTAGTTAAGAATTTCAAATAAGGAAAATATATTATATTTAGTTTACTCAATACACACAATATTCTTTAAAAAGTCTGATTATTTCTCTTTTCAGGGCATTGCATATACATATATTTAGAAAAAAAAATGTATTTTCAATCTCTTAAATAATATCCAACTTACCATTTTAATTTCTTAATCAATGCCCTGAGAGCATTCGTTAGCATTTCCCTTAGTCACCTGTTTATATTATTCTTAGACCGGTTTTTCTTTTCTGACTTTTGAGATTTGACTTTGACACATGTATTATTTATTTATCTATTTATTGTTTGATTACTCTCACATGTATTATATGTGTCCCATACAGTATTTATAAATATAAGATATATTTGTTCCTACATTAATTTTTTTGGGATAATTTGGTCACGTGAATTTTTTAAATAAAATTGAAATTTATTAAATATTCATGAAAAAAAATAAGAAACCTTATTATTTTGAATTTTAAGGAATCAAATTAACATATATTTTAATTTCTCACAAAAACTGCAAAGCTAAAATTAATCACCGAAAAAATCATATTTATATGTTAGTCTCTATTTATAGATACATTATAGTATCATTATAACAAAAAATAATAATAAAAGAATATTTTTTTTATTAGATATAAAGTTCGATCCATAACTCACATGCAGAGTCATCTCAAATTTTTGAGATTGAAGTCCTGTGTAAGAAATTGGAGTAAGCTTGTAAAATTTTTTTAATGGTCCTATTCAACTATAAATTAACCGTGAAATATATGTAAGGAGACTCTTTTTTTTCATAGTATGATTTTAAAAATTTGTGTGATCCTGTGCTTTATGTCGGCTTGCACACTCTCAAAGACGACCTTACTCACACGGTCTCTTATGTCACTTTCAAGTATTGTCAAAAATCACTTTTCAATTATTCTCTGTCTCAGATTTTCAATTATTCTTTGTCTCAGAATCAACTACGACATATGGAATAACATAATACTGCTTATTTTCTTTTTGAGCAACAACTATAGGACTTTTCCCCCATAATATCCTTTAATAAAACATCCATCAAGACCTATTAATGAACTACATCCGACTTTAAAGACATTCCTGCAAGCATTCAAGCAAACATATAATCTTTGAAACAATTGAAGGAACTTCCATCTTTTTCGTTGATCCAGGGTTGCTTCTTAATAACCTAGCCAAGTAATCTCAAGTTTGTCCATATTGTTTCTTTGCATAATCTTCTAATACCAATCTTGCTTTTCTCAGTGCTCTATATAATTTCTTTTTATTTATATGAATAAAATATTCATCATTCGTCATCTCATATGCTTGATCCCTTTTAAGGTTATGTTGTATCGTTAATGTTTGTTTTAATTTATTTATAACTCAATCTCTACTAGTTGGTTTGTTCTTAAACACTCTACAACATGTATGTTCTAGATCGAGTATTTTAATATGATAGGTGTTACTACTTTTATTCCATGAATATAACGGAACCCATGGGCATTCCTCAACATGACAGATAACCTTAGGCTTTACCTTATCATTCTTTTTCCACTTAATTTCCCTTCTAATAGGAGTGTTCACATCTTTCATAGCATTCTTAAAATCCTCAAATTTTATAAATTTCATCGCAGCTTCTAGCATAACTTCACCAAAAACAACTTTAGAGTTAAAAACAAGAAAATTAGACTTTGAACTTCCCCTCATCATCTGGGGATACTGGAGCTGTACAACAACACACACATCAAAGAATCCAAAGGTATTTTCAATATAATTGAAGAATCACACAAGAACAAGAAATAAATCTATTAAAACATGAGAATTGAGTTGAAAAAATGCCAAGAAAGATGGTTTAGCTTAAGTCAAAATTTGAACTTAACAAACTCTCCCCAACAAGATTTTTGCTTGTCCTCAAGCAAAGTATGCCCCTCATGAAAACAAGATAAATTTGCTCAAACAAGAGGATTTTCTCAAGCATAAGATTCAACCAAGAAAGGATTAATAATTCAAATTCAAACAAGAGATATTTGCTCAAACAAAAGGATTTGGTCAAACATGAGAATGCGCACAAGCAATGTTCACCCCTTAATAGAATCAAACAATGACAAAGAATTTAGTTCTTAAAAAAATATCATGCAATGTTTCAAATAAAAACTAAAGTCTCATACTTGAATCACTCTAACACTCCTCTTCAGAATTAGAATGAAGAAATTAACGCGTTTGCAACCGCGAGGAAATTTCACTCACCTGACAAACAATGCTAATAACAATTAAATTCATACATTCATCTAACAATCATTAGTAAAATCATGGAAGCAAAAAGATCACTAAGGGCTTTTAAGGTTGTAGTTTGGTCAGGTTCACAACAAAGGATCATTTCTAAATGCCATTGAATCTAAGTTGCCAACGCAAAAGTGACATTCACTATACAAGTTATTTACACATCTCAACTTTTTTTCACCATTTTCTTTCCTCTATTGCAAACCTTCTCAAACTTCCTTTTGCATAATTATTTCATTCACTATTTTTCTTTTTCAAACAAGCATTCCTTTTCTTTTGTTTTTCACATTCATATTCACACATTTTCTTTTCAAAATTTGTAAGTAACCTACCACTTTTATTTTTCATTCTCCCCAACTTGAATTCAACTAAATCTTAAGTGAATGCTCCTTTCTTTTTATGGCAAGGAAATCATTTTAAAACAATGTTCAAAGGTTCAAGAATTTTTTTTAGAATCTCACAAAATTCAATGATGAACTAAACTTTCAAATTATGTACATAAAATCAAGTTTATCACTAAAATGAGATCTATACAAAGCTAAAAAAATATAGAAACTATTGCAATGCATTTCAATATCTAAACACCATTCCTTGGCAACGACACCATTTTTTTCAACCTGCAGTAAAGTAGCAAGAAGAAAAAATTTAGATTTGGAAGGATTCCCTCCGGGGTTTATATCGTCTTCACATGGATTGGTGCAAGGGAAAGAACGTTTTTCAATGGTCTCTACATTTCTATGGGAAATACATATATAGTAAAACAAAAAACTGTCTTGTTCACCTAGCGAACACCTTCTTCTCCCAACGAAGACCACTTTTAGGCCTCTGAACAGTTAAACTGCCTCTGGAAAATATCTGAGTTCATAGTGCGAGCACTTCTTTGCACAACGAACTACTTCACTACAGATTCCCCTAGCTAACTTTAGGCCCTTTTTCTACTGCCTCAAATCTGAGATGGTTCGCTAGGGCTTCTCCAGTACCTCGCACAACGAGCATTCACTTTCACCTCGCTGGTGTTTGCACAACAAACATGTTGATTTCTCTTATCTTTTTTGGCTTCCTTGTCCAATCATTTGTGTCTTAATCATTGATGTTTTATGCCTATATCCTACACAATAATACACACATCAAAGAACTCAAAGGTATTTGCAATATAATTAAAGAATCACACAAGAACAAAAAATAAATCTACTAAAACATGAGAGCTGAGTTGAAAAAATGTCAAGAAAAATGTTTCAATTTAAGTCAAAACTTTCACTTAACAATCCCTCTCTGAAAGACCCATTTTACATGTTTATTATTCCAGAGATGCATCTTCGTTTAGGATTTACGGAG